TTACTCAGGTTTCAAAGCACAATTTAGTTTAGCCCAATTTTATCTTGCATGTTTTGGGTAGATCCAAACAGTCTGTGCCACAGATGTAGCAATCAATGGCTTTACTCATCACTGAGTTAGGGACCAAAACACTGTTTTGATTTGGATGTTAACACTTTCAGAAGAGAGAATATGGATTTAATTGTTTACCATAAGAAAAGTGACAGAGCCAACCAACCATCCATCCCCACCTGTGCCCTATTCTTTCCTTGTGTTTCTTTAGAGCCTTTTCAGCTATTTCCTGTGAAGCAAACTGCACGAAGGCCTCCCCCGTACTCCTCCCCTGGAAGTCCACCGGCAATGTTATCCCATTTGGCACGATTTCCAACCCTTCAACCCAAGGACAAATAACCCCAGTAGGGGGGCAATATTAACATCACAAGCCCAGTCATGAGTTTTTTCTTATAGCTTTAAAAACACCAGAATTTAAACACTTTTAAGTGAATGGTATGTTGATTCTAGAACACCAGAAGAAAAAAAGGCACGTCAACAAAGAGCTCCACGATCACATACCATTCAGTTCAGGTTCTTAACCCACCCTGCAGAGCACAGAAATGCTCTGAGAGTCAGGAACAACTCCTCAGAGAAGGCATCTAATGCAGGGTGCATTAAGAACCTCACATATTATTACAAACCTCTTCAATTCTGTGAAAGTATTTAAGACGAACTTTTTAAGAGAACTTAAAATTCAAACACAGCAAATTAAACAGCTTTATATAGAACAAGTAATTTTACCAGAAGTCACTCAAATAAAATAATTAAGTCTTATGCAAACATCAAGTTTCAGCATTGATTTTTTTTATCTTTAGGAGTGCTTAATTAAGAAAAAAATCATGAAGTAATTTTAAAGTATTAGTTCCTGAACAGAAAAGGCACATTTTGTATATTAAGCACATTAACAGTTTTTAAAGCTTGAATTACTTCACCAAGTAAGAAAAAAACAGCTTAAAACGTACATGCTTAGAAATTGCTTGTTCATATCACCGATTCAGAAAACAAAAAACAAGTCCTGAAGTTGTAAAATTGGAAATATTTCTACTGTATTTTAAAGTAAAACAGTAAGTTCAATTATATCTTGTTATAGCAAAACATTTAGAAATCTACTATTTTGAAAATACTATCAAAATGAAATCCTAAAGAAATCAATAGCTTTTATTCTTAGGCATTTTTAATAGTTTGTAATTCCAGTTTCTAAAACATACGGTAGCTGCAAAAAAAGTAAAAAATTAGTCAAAATAAGACATTATCTCTTCATCCACAAAAACTTTGAGCTAGGTATCAAGGGTTTCTTTCTTTCCCCATAGAAAGAGAAGGGGGCAAATCTGTACTTGGGTAGAGTTCAACAGGTTGTTTTTCTCTGGACTTTCATTCAGTACTAAATCTATGCTTGGAAGCAGCCATGGGCTCAATGCCTGCCCTTTCTCAGATCCTGCTCCTCACACAGAGTCCGGAGGTGAGGGTGTTGTACATCCTTCACTGACAGGGTAAAGCAGCAGAGACTGGGGGTGGAAATATCCTCTCACCTGAATTGTTCACTTTAATTTGGAAGGCAAGACACTTGTTTTCTGCAATGCTTACATGGAACAATATGTCCCACTAAGTATATATTCAAGTAGCTCTTTGGCATTCCCTAAATTATGATCAGGTACTTCAGGAATTGATCCAATGGATCCCTCAAGCACATATAACTAATAAAAAATTGGTTTATCTAGTTTTAATACCCATAAATACTGTTGGAAGGACTACAGGGCAATCCATGTTTCTTTGGTTTGTCGGGGTTTTTTTTTTTTTAGCATAAACCAATAGTGCTATAGCTACTACTTTTATCCCACATACCTGAAAAAAACTGTACAATTTCTTCTTTACTACAGCCAAATGGGAGTCCTCTAAGACGTACAAAACCATCATTAGCTGTATCAGGGCTGTTGGGACCAGTATGCTTCAGAACCCAATCCATTTCAACGTTGTTTGACTTGAAAACTGTAAAAGGCACTTAGAATTAATGCATTCTGGAAAAAGCAACGGCTTTAAAAGTCATTTGCCTTGAAACTAGTCAACTTATGATATACAAGTCCATTTGTCCTTCCACATGCATTTTAAAGAGATAAAGAAACAATCAACCAAAAACCCATCAAGCACGAACACATGTAAGTCAGTTACTAGACCAACTGAGTCAAACCTTCAACATATCTGTGTCCCATTGTTTCTCTGTCTTTTTTCAGGGCCAATTTCACATCCTCCTCTGATTCAAGTTCAGCAAATGCTTCTCCACTTGGCCTGCCCTCCCTGGTGTAGATGAAACGGATACCCAGAGCCCCATTCAGAATTTTGCAATCTGAAAACGAAATAGAAAGGTCAGAATTAATTTAGTTATAACAGGAACATTGTGACTTTACAAGTTGCATATATTCTAAAAAGAAAAACGTAGCAACAACTATCAAGTTGTAACAAGATGACAAAACCACCAAACCAGCAGTATTCTTGTTACAACCTTACAATGACCAAAGAGACTAACTAAAATTAAGTTACTCTTCTAGTCAAACCTACAGATTGGCAACTACAAATTATCTATCCATTTTCAAACCTTCTCTGCCTCAAGTTAAATGCACTATCTGCTTTTGATCTTAACTTTCTCATCAGCTTAAAACAAATAAGCAATAATAGCAATCAGTGCAAGTGTAATAAACTAAATCAGAACCAAGTCCAATTCATCAAATTCCTGAAGCAGCTTTAAAATCTCCAGCCACCGCAGAAAGCATGTGTTTCTCACTACAATTCATTACTGCAGAATGCTACTAATTCGGGGCAAGGACACACAGAATGAACACAAGAGAGCCTGTTAGGACAACACAGAGAATTAAACTGATTTAGTTTAATCTCAAGCAAGAATTCTGAAGTTTTCTTTAAAATGGAAGCTTCTCTTTCCTGGTTGCTCAAGCAGCGAAGGCAACCGTGGCCATCCCAGCAACGTGCAGACTAAGCCCCTTTGTGTGGAGTTCCTGCTCACACAAGCACGGCTTTGCATACCGGGCCCTGCCTGAAGCACTTGTTGCATTACAAACTTCACTGGCTCCTGAATGATTCCTGCTGCTGCTCCCTGCAGCGTTCCCACCGGCACAGAGTCCCCGGGAGGGATGCAGGATCCAGACAACAGAGCCCGAACCCTCTCTGACACCCCCATCCTCCCCGGCCCCACTTACCAGAGAAGAATCTCTGTACCTCCTCGGTGGAGCAGGACCAAGGCAGCCCCCGGACTTTCACCACGTATCCCTCGCTGCTCTCCGTGTTGAGCATCACATTGGGGGTGAGGCTCTGCTCTGTCTCGGCTTCTGTGGTTGCTGGAGAAGACCAGAACGGGCCCTTTGAGACTCGTGCTCAGCACGGCCGCCACCCGCACCCCCTCAGAGCGCCCGGCGGCCCCCCTGGCCTGTGCCCTGGCCCTCCCCGAGCCTCCTCTGCCTCGGCGCTGCGCCTCACTCTCCGCGCCGCTCCGCCCCCGGCTCCGCGCCCTGCCCCTTCCGCCGCACGCACACATGGTGGGGCCCGCGCTGGTTTAGGCTTCCGAGCCTGATCCGCTGTCCGTAAAAGAAAGAGCGCCTAGTCCCGGTCAGGCGGCACGCGAGCGGGCGAGCCTGTGGCGAGAGCGCGGCCTAGGAACATGGCGGGCGGGTGCTCCGCTTCCGCTGGCGGCCTCCGCCGCAACAAAGAGCGCGGGCCCGGACGCCGCCCTGGCGGCCCGCGGCCCCGGCGATGGCGCAAGCGCCCGCGCGGGTTCGGGGAGAAGCGACGTGTGGCCGCTGGTGCGTGTGCGTGGAGCGGGCACAGAGCAACCGGGCACCGGTTTGAGCGCGCGAGCCCCGCGCCAGTCGCGCTCACGGGAAGGAGCGGCTTGCAGCGTTGGCCGGATCGTGCGCGTGCGCGCTGGGGCCCGGCCCGCCCCCGGACACCCCGCGCGCGCGCCGCCTGTCCGCGGCCTGTGCGCACGCGCCCGCCCGCCCGCCACGCGCGCCGAACAAAGCCCCGGCCCGCGTCCCCGACGCCGCTCATGCGCATGCCCCGCACGCCCCTCAGCCCCCCCTCACCCTCACACCGCCCGCCCGGGCCGGTCCCGGTGCCGACACTCGGCCCGCACCGACAGCGAGGGCGCTCTGGCTGCACAGAGGTGTGTGGGAACTAGCACTTACCAGCTTCAAATGCTGACGCTACCCCACGCGAAACAATCTGCTCGCTTCGGTCACTGAAGCCTGGTGTGTTTGGAGGAGATGGGGAGAGAAGAGACAATGGGTCACAATTATCATAAAAGAAAGGAAAAGTTTACTCCCTCCCGTCTCCTCCAAACACACCAGACCTGGCTAGATTTCACCCTGAATCTCGTAGTTAGAGGAAGGAGTTACAGGAGTAACTCACCACCTAAGAATTCTCCATGCCCTCTCCTTCCACTGGAAAGAACAAGCAGCTCATGTTTCAACTTGCCCACGCAGGGGGTAGGGGACCCGTGCCCAGAGGTGAGCAGGCTCCATAAAGCCCCTGACATGGGTTATTTGGAGCCCAGAAGCTGTTCAGAGCTGCCTCTGGATGAACATCATTCGTCCATGCATGCTTCTCCAGTCAGTACCAAAAAGGACTGCAAACCTGCCTCATCTCTCACGTAAGTCCTTGAGGTGTTTACTGTAAAAACACCGATCTGGACCACTAACAACTACCGAACTGCCACACCTAGAGGATTTTTGAAAAATGAAAAAAAAACCAAACCAAACCAAAACAACCCCGCATACTCAGGATACTTCTGTAAATCGAGCACACGGCGCAGTCGTTTGCACTAATGCAAATCTGCTCAGTGAGTGGAACCGCGTTAGTCATTTCCCGCACAAAGCTGCCCTGCCCCATTTCAGCCGCCAAACGCCCATTTCGGAATCCCGCGGCGGCAGGAGCGGGGTACAAGGGGCGGCAGGAGGGGGCAGCGCCTCCGCCTCTCCCCGGGGAGCGGCCATCCCGCCCACCGGCGGGCGGGATACTTAAAACTGCGCGGGAGCTGCTGGGAACCCCCTGGGCTCCCGCTCCGAAAAGCCATGTCCACCCCCGCCAAGCGGCACTGCCAGAGCCCGGCCGGCTCCCTCGACTCCAGCTTCCAGAAGCGCCTCAGGAAAGTTTCCATCGAGGGGAACATCGGTGAGTTCGGCGGCGCGGGATAGGGGCCGGCCGGGGGGTCAGCACAGGAGCGCGCCGAGGGGCTGGGATGGGGGAGGAGGAGGGGAGAGGGCAATGCGGGGCTTGTCCGCCCGGCTCTGCGGGCAGCGAGGGGCTCTGCAGGGAGAACGGGGTCGGGATCACGTCGGGAAACCACTGCCACGGCCGGGTGCCCGTCGTGCCCCCTACGCGCAGAGGACTGTGGAGAATGAGCTCCGCGGGACGCGCTGCCCGTTCCGCTCCGCCCGCGCCAATTCCCGGCGCCTGCGCGGCCGCTCCGGCTCTGCCCCCGCCGCCGCGCCGAGCTCCGCCGCCGCCAAGCTCCTAAAATGTCCGGCTCGTGTCTTATCGCCCGCCTGGCCCGGGCGCGGCCCTTCTGGTGCCGCAGATTAGCGCCGTTTTCGCCCCGGGAGCCCCGCGCCCCGAATGCCGCACCGACTGCCCCTCACAGACCTCACCGCTGCCCCTGTACCCGTCACCTACCACCGCTCTGATCAACCCCTAGTGAACTTCTCATATCTCCTGCAGCTGCAGGGAAGTCAACGTTTGTGAGCCTGCTGGAGAAGCACAGCGATGAGTGGGAGATCATTCCCGAGCCCATCGCCAAGTGGTGCAATGTCCAGACAACCGAGGATGAGTATCAGGTAGCTGTGCGGGATGTGGGTCAGGACAACCAAACTGCAAGGAATTTTGTGATGAGGGAGCTATGCCAAAATCCAACCGTACTTAGTCTGCAGTAGCCAGAGTCATCCCCACTATCATACCAGTCGGTCAGGCACTCAGAAATGTTAAGGCAAGATACTACTGAATGTATATTCCAAATCATATCCCTACTCCACAGAATCACACTAAAATGTGGAACTCGACAAACAACCTACTTAAAGAAGCAGTTATGACTACTACAATCACCTGACAAAAAAGTCTCTTTGATCCTATGCTAAGCATTTTCCTTACAAAAAAAAAAAAAACCAAAAAAACACCCAACACACAAAAAACACAAGTGTATGAATTCTCACTTTAACAAACCAGAATTCCAGATTGAGAAAAGGAAATAAAAATCCTGCAAATATCTGGTATTGAATTTTTTTCTCTTGCCTTCTAGGAACTTTCAACATCTCAGAAGAGTGGAGGAAATCTGCTTCAAATGCTGTACGACAAACCCACAAGATGGGCTTACACCTTTCAGACTTATGCTTGCTTGAGCCGAGTAAGAGCACAGTTAAAACCAGTCTCAGCAAAGCTACAGGAAGCAGAACATCCAGTGCAATTTTTTGAGAGATCTGTGTACAGTGACAGGTAATTATTCTCACAGCACAGCAAGAACTCACATTAATAGCTCCAGGTCTTTAAAGACATAGAGCTGGAGAACACTTGATATTAAAATAATACCTGCAGGGAGCAGGCTTGATTAAGGGCAGACATTTTTTCAGTACCATGATTTCTGTTCTAATGACAAGTGTTTTGGTAGTTCATTTTTGTCATTCCTGGCATGAGACTGATGTCTTTCATTGCAGATATGTATTTGCTTCTAACCTGTTTGAGTCTGGGAACATTAATGAAACAGAGTGGTCTATTTATCAGGACTGGCACACATGGCTCTTGAATCAGTTTCAATCAGATATAGAACTGGATGGCATGATCTACCTCAGAACCACACCCCAGGTATGCTCACTGAAGGTGAAAGTTTTTCAGTTCCAACTTCATTTTCCAGGGGCTTAACAGGGTACAAAAAAAGTTATTACAGACTTAACTTGTTTATGTTCAGCCAAGCATTTAAAATTAATGCTCACTAATGTCCAGCATTAGTCCTCCTGAGTTAAGGACCACTTGATCCTTTGAGCTGATTTAACCTACAACACATGATTAATGACCACATTTATGCTTCTTTTTCTTTTTCCAGAAATGCATGGAAAGGCTACAGATGAGGGGAAGAGAAGAGGAACAAGGAATTGAGCTTGAGTATTTGGAAAACCTCCACTATAAACACGAAACCTGGCTCCATGAAAGGACTATGAGGTAGGAACCCATTTTCTGTAGCAAGTTTCAACTTGCAGGCAAGGTTCTTTCAGCTTTATACTAAAGTTGATAAAACCAAAGTTTAAGTCTAGCTTCACTCAGGCACACTTGAAAGGATTTATTTTTAGACCCACTTCTCAGTTTTCAAAGATGGAACTTCATCTAATTTGAAACCTTTGTTAAGCATTAGCTCCAACTAGGAAGCTTTATAGCTGTAACTCCAGCAAGGATATGGATTTTGCTAATTGGAAGGGCACAGGAATAGGGCAGATGAAATAGTTTTCAATGGCCAATCACAGAAGTCACTTACTAAGCAGCTTTGTGTTCCAGTGCATGGGGGGGCAAGGTCCCAACTACCTTTAAACTTGCAGGACTATATTTCAACAAAGTTTAGTTTATTTTGAAGCCAGGATTAATATTTACTCAGAAAGGCTTTTGGCAGACGCTGTTACACACAAGAAATCCAATCAGCAACTGAGTGATCTCTGCACACCAACTTCCTTATTCTTACCAGCTTTCCCATCTAAGGGATCTCTAAACGTGAAAGCAGACTTCAAGTTTTCCTCTAAAGGAGCCCAAAATCCTCTACTGACTGAGAAGCACTACAATTCTAGGAAAAGTACATTATCAGTCACATCTACTTTCCTAAGTTTGATGTAGGATTACCCAAATGCTTTGGAGACAGAAGGCAGCAAATAGTGTGGAATTTTGGGAATGCATATGTTGTGTACTCATTCCAAACTTGTAAGCAAGCATTTCCTGTGTTTTTCACAGAATCACTTGAAGTCTGCAAGCACAAGTTAGAATGTTGTTCAGCACACTTACTACATTTCCACACTTAAAAGAATAACTACTGCTTGAAGAGAAAAACACATCCAGTTGCACAACTACTGCTCCCATCTGTTCTTAAACTGAAGCCAAAATGGTCTTGCTTATCTCTAAGACATTTTAAATATCTGTCTTATAACCTGTTAAAGAGGCCATCCCCACGCAAGGAAGCTTTAAAAATGCATATTAGTAAATGGATTACATGGGGGAAGACTCAGGGTAAGCGATACTTTAAAAAAGTACTCACTCTTACAGAATCAATTCCTGATGATTGATTCTGGGACAGAAAGAATGGGATAAAGAAAGCTAAAGTAAAAAAACAAACTATCTTTTCCTCTCACTTGTACATAACAAATAGATACTAAGAACCCAGATTTGTGAAATCTAGGGAAGTTGTGGTGATACCATGTTGACTGGGTTACACAAGAGCAATTAAGGACAAACTTGACTTGGGCTTTACACTTAAGTCATGGCCATCAGCATTAACATCTCAGGTGCACGTAGTAATCTGACTAATGCTGCACCCTTGGAAAGCAACTAAAGAACTGGAGTCTTATGCACAATACTTTATGCCATGTTCTTCCATTTAACAGAGTTGATTTTGAGAACCTCAAAGAGATTCCTATTCTAGTTTTGGATGTTAATGAAGATTTTAAAAATGATGAGATTAAACAGGAGTACCTGATCGATAAGGTAAGTAGCAAATATTGTTTCTCTGTATCTGCTTTTCTTCTGTAGTTATCAATTTATGTTCTTAAAATTTGTGATGAAGTGCTTATTTGAGGCTTGTAAAAATCATTCTCCTTCGAGATCTTTCTGCCCCCTCACACAACACATCTGACAAAGGTTATACACAGGGCTCAGTTTCCTGAAGAGTTCCAAATGCATGAAATGAGACTTCCAAGTAGAGTTGGGAAGAAAAGTAAACAGCCATTTGAGGAAACAAGGTGGCAGTAAAGAGGTCACTTGAGTTAAAATGGTGTTTACCAGCTCCAAGGAAAGGCAAGCCTTAGGGAGTAAATGCTGGAGCAGTGTGTTGTGTGCCCAGGCTGTGGCAAAAAAAAAAATAGCCAAAACTCCTTAAAAGCATGGGTATGTGCTCTTCTACCAAACCCTCCTCCATCTTGTTCTGGGTCATCAATTTGAGATTACTGCAGAATGACTCCTTCAAGCCAAACCTAATCCCCCCCATTAAATAGCTCAAAATAAACCAGGAAGGGGAGTGCACTGTTCAGTTGTGGAGGTATTTCTTATTATATCCTCATAGAAACCAGCAATTAACAGCTTAGAGTTCTGTACAGACTACACTCAGACATGCCACCTTTAACCTTGCCCCTCTGAAAGGCCACTAGCATTTCAGGTCACGAATTAAAAATGTAGGGGCAAAACATCCTTGGAAACTGTATAGTAACAAACTATTTGTTTCCAAACAAAGGGAAAAGCCTGGTATTTCAGATTTTAATACATCAAATATTATATATACTTTTTTGTTTTTGACAGGTCAAGTCTTTCCTGACTTCTTAAGAAGATGAAAATTAATTCAAACAACAAGTCCCTGAAGTTCCAGATTTAGACTTATCAATCAGTGTGTTCAAGAATTTACTTTAACCAAATGCATTACCTGTATAGCTTATTTTAAAGCAAGACCAAAACGTAAAATATCATTTGGGGTTTTTTCCCTTGTCTGACTTGTGTGAGTTTGATAGTTTTCTGTATAGCTAAAACAAACAAATATGGGGCACTTCGATAATGTTTTTCCTGTGTATTCTCCACTGTTTAATAAAGATTAAAAGTCCTACTGCCTATGAGCTGTTTGTCCCCGCGGGGGAGCTCAGCGGTTGTCAATGGCTGACACCCAGTAAACAGATAGCAGGCGCTGAGCTGGGTTGTTTTGCAATAACTGGCACGGGTTCACCATTTTAAGACGAGACTGTTATGGCGTCCAGAAAAACCTTTACTTTCAACTTCTGCTTAATCGCGTGACCGTTCCCACCGGCTTTAACGCTACTTAAGACTGGACGTTAGACCTGTAATAAACTGTAATTTGCGCTTATCTCGTTTACGATCTCACCTCCCCCAATCCCCCCC